GGATAGGTTTTTGAAAAGCCCGATCCGGGTTACCGATCCGGTTTTTAAACCATTGGTTTCAACTTTCGATACATCTACGCCTAGTATCATTACTATTTTTAAAAATCTAAATTTTATAAAATCGGGAGAATCTTCTTATGCTCTCGGTTTCCCCTCCCTCTTGCTGGGTTTGGCCGCACCCCCAGGAAAACCAAAGCCACCATTTCTCTCTCTCTCTAAATAGCCTGCGTATTTCTCTCGAAGAGAATCTCAATCTCTCCTCGCCATGCTCTTTCCGTCCTGCAATAACTGAACCACTCATACATTGTAGCAGCAATGTCTTCCGCAACCGTTAACATTCGAATTTCCTCCACCGCCACTCTAACGAGACCGGGCAGCCCCTACTTGCTGCCCGCCTCTTCGTCGCTGAAGCTGACTGTGCCCTCTTCGTACATGATCCGGGGGGCTCGGGCACTACGGGCGGGCCTGAGAATCGGGGAACCTGATCCCGTGAGCCCTTTTTTAGTGAGAAGGAGAAGAGGGTCAGGAAATTTCGTTTGCGGTGCTCAAGATGCTCTTGCTCAAGGTAGACCGCTATTTGATTTTAAATGTTTAATTACGTTTTAATGTTTTCACAAATAAGGATTAGTTCTGTTTTTTTTACGTACCTGTTTCATATGTGTATTTTTCCCTGTATTTCTGGTATTTTCAGAATAATTGGAAGTTTTTTATCTTATCGTCCAACTGTTGTTTTAAGTTCGAGTGATATTTTTGTTCCCTTCAGTACAATTTTACAGTTAGAGTGGTTAATTATTTTTTGTTATTTTGCTTCGTTCTTTTTTGTTTGATTTGCTGGTGTTCATTTATGGTTATGAGTTTCTAATAGGAATGGATGGTGATTATTTGTTGTTCTTTGTTCATATATATGTTTGTTTATAAGGAAGGGGGATTATGGTCATCGTTTTTATTTGCTGTTTCTCTTGAAATTTTGCTAAATGAATTGTGTTAACCTCACATGTCAATATCTTTTTAGCTTTTTAGCCAAGGATTTCTGCCCTTTTTTTCTTAAACAATTTTAGAATCTGTAGTGTTTGTATTCTCTGTTGGAATTTCTTTCATAATTATTTGCTGTCTGGTTTATCGGATTATAGGATTGTTGTCACTTTTATGTCTGCCCATTATTTGAAAGCTCCTATCTCTCAGTGAATTATTACCTACTAGAAAATTTGGGGCTATGCTTTGGTGATAGAATGAAAGAGTTGGTCTTTTCGTAAGTTATGGTATGAGAGTGCTCATGCTTGCATCTGAGTCCTCGACTCTTTTGAGTTTTAAGGTATTATATGTGTTTGATACGAATTCTTTCTTGATTTTTCTATGTTCCTTTTCTTTGTATTTTGCAAACCCATCTGAGTTCATGGTTACTAGGCTGGTCTTGATGAGTTTGATATCAACTTCATGTTGGTTTCCATTGTTCATTTGTAGAAATTTTAATATTAGACTCGAGAGATGGAATGATCACACAAAAAATAGATGTGAATTTGGTTTGCATTAACATCTAAACAACTCCAGTTGGTTTGGGGCCTGGGAGCCTATAAATGGTTAATTATGAGAAGATTTAAAAAGACTCAAAAACATTTCAAATATATTTTTTATAATTTGTAGAGTAGCTAGCAGTGAATTTCCAATGTTTGCTAAGTTCTCACACTACTTATGGAAAAAAGAAGTGTGTTGAAATTAAGTTCTTCATAGCCCAGTGGCATCTTTATTGTGTTGTGACATAGCTAGTCAGAATCAATTTCACAAATAACCCCCAGAGCTTAATGCTCAGGAGCAACTTGGAAAGGAAAAAAAACATGATGACTCACATACAAAGAGTAGATCTTTGTGAAATGAGAGAGGAGATTGTGAAAAATAAATAAGTGTAGAGAGAGAATTATTGCGAAAGCAACAGAAGATATTCAACAAGAGAAGTAAAAAATTGCAGATGAGAGTAGCTCCTATGGTATGAAAATGACAATGCATTGTATGAGAGATGTAAAAGACTCTCACATGAGGTAGTTCTCTATCGATAGAGATATCTAGGACCCACTAAGCTTAGGAATGGCCTTATTAACCAAGGCAGTTTATAGTAGTACACAACCTACTTGCAGATGAGAGTAACTCTCTATGGGTATCAAACGACAACATATTGTATGAGAGATGTAAAGATTCTCATATGGAAAGTTCTCTATTAATAGAGATTTCTAAGACCCATTAATCTTAGGCAAGACCTTCTTGTTAATCAAGTTATGTATTGTACACAACCTATGTTTTTCTTTTTTTCTTTTTATCATTAGTACAAAACCTACGTGTACTATTATAAGTGGTTCCTTTTAAAGTAGCTACATGGAATCTGACTCTCTTAAACTGCATTTCTGAAGCTACCAAAAAATAAATAAATAAATTAATTAAATTATATTATACCTTTTGACTAGTAGCCTTGACTAAGCCCTATATTGTGACAGTGCCATCGTAGCAAAGTTGCTCTTATCTGACATCCATAAATTTCTATCAGTTTCAGTTGTTATTTTATTGTGGTTGGCTGGCCTGACCCCTCCCACGCCATTCCAACCATCGACAGCAAGCTCCCATTGAATTTGAAGAACATCGAAAACATTGGGTGAAAATGTTCATTCTTTGTTCTTCTATGGATCCCGTAACAAGAGATGTATCTCTCCACAAAACACTTCTTTCCAAATTCTACAAGTGGTTGGATATACATTACAGGACAATTGTCCCATGGAACTGTCGATCCTTATAAGGCACGATCTATGCAATGGGAATTTTGTAGCAGTTGGTATGGATTTTGACGAATCTAGTCTCATGGCTAAAATTACAATTCTGGAATTGCTAGTAGTGCCTATGGCAAGTTAAATATTGACGATTTCATTGGATAGACTGGAAGATATGATTGTTTTCACAGCGAAATAGATTGTGAGATCTTTAACAAGTCACGAATTTGAACCTTGGGCTTCAACCTAATTGTTTATATTTCGTAGCATGGAAAAATCGTCTATGCCCCTCGTGGCAGCCCCCCTCTGCCATGTGGAATAGGCATCCATGATTTTAAAATATTAAAATCATTCCCATTCACCATCCCCATGTATAGTATGGGTTCATACCCATTCACCATCCCCATGTATCCTTGATGGAGTTGAGTAACTGTGCCTGCTAAAAAAAAATAGGAGCAGCCTTAAAAGCGGACCACATCTCCCACAGTACATGGATATATGTGGATGATGGATGTTCAGTCAAAGTATCCAATGACATGCTCATACTAGGTATACAATGTTTTCCCAATCTTAAAACCTAGATATCCTATCTCTCAGAAAAAGTAACTCACATGGTTTTTCTGTTTAAAATCCTCATATTATTACTTCTGTTTAAGTATCTATCTCCTATGGGAGCATATAGCCTGATGTGTAAGCTAGAAGGTACATGGGCTAGCATCCATAGTCTATTTAGTGCATAGGTGATGAATATGCGCCATTTTACAAGCATTTTGACACACAGGCCAACATGTTGTTGTTTGGGTGGACCCATTTCTATCCTACCATCCCTTCTAAAAGTACATGAGAATCTACAATTATACGCATTGTGTTTCTATGCAACATTTACATAGTTGATTCTGTCTTGGTAACTTTATAAAGATAAGGTCATTTTGTTATTTAAGTTTCTACCTATCAAATAGTTTGTCTAGGTCACCATGTAATGTATATGTTTCAGATACTAGACTGAATATCCGACAAGATAGAGCCATCTCTATCAAGACGACAGATCCACTCTTTGTAGTATACAATAGGATCAATTATAACAAGTCACACACTCATATTCCAGAAATACCGAAACAAAGGAATTGCACGGTCGAATTACCTAACCTAGAAATCCAAGTCCTAAGTGATTCATTTATTTTTATTTTTTGTTTTTACCTGGTTTTTCTGTACCTTACTCACTGAGATTCCATCCAGTAAAACAGAAGAATTATAAATCTCCAAAATAATTGATAGAAATATTGCAAATAAAGCCATTGCGACCCCCATAAGGGTGTAGTTCCCCATCCCGGAGCTACTTTACCATATTCTAAATTCAACGGTTTAAATAAATCCTATACAATAGTCCGTCTTGGACCAGATCAGGAACTATCCTCCACGCTTTGTGTAACCATAAATTCTATTGCATTGGTTGAGATCTATTGACTTTGTATATTATTCCGTTATAAATAAACTATCTTATCCTGTCGTGGTATTGAAATTCTCTAATAATGGAAACTGCAACCCTAGTTGCCATCTCCATATCTGGTTCACTTGTAAGCTTTACTGGGTATGCCTTATATACCGCCTTTGGGCAACCCTCTCAACAACTAAGAGATCCATTCGAGGAACATGGGAACTAATTGAAATAATGAACCTCCCAGGAGGTTCATTATTTCAATTGAGATAATGAAAAATCATTTTATTTTTTTATTCGGAACCTTAGGCGGTTCTTGAAAAAAGATAGCGAAAAAAATTATCCCTAGAGTCGATACCAACAGGAATGTATAAACCAGTGCTTCCATAGATTCGATCGTGGTTTACAATGAAATTATATATAGCTTCCATATCTATTCATTTGGGATCATTTCCTAGAGAAAGAGTAACTTGAATCAATATTTTAGATTTCCTGTACTCTATACGAAATATACCAAACCAAATAGAGGCGAGACAGACTAGAGCAATGTTGTATCAAACTATTTGTCTCCTTGTAGTTGGATCTCCTATTTTTTGGAATGCTCCAAATTCTACTTGGGCATCCAAATCCAGGTCGATACCAGCAAAAACATCTCTAAACAAGGTTCTAGCACCATGACATTCTATAACCTTATATGAGATTCTAATACTAAAATACTAAAAAAGAAAGAAGTAAAAGTTAATGTTCTAACGAATCGCACGTAGAGATATTGATAACGCACACGGAGTTAACGGTATGAACTATCGAACAAATCATTCCATTCTATATTTTTCAATTTTATCTTCATTATTGACATCATGATATAATTTAATATTTTTCATTTTGATAAAAATTTGAGAAAAGCTATTCTCAAACTTCCATCACTAACCAAAAACTTTTTAACCTGTAAAAATGTGCCGATTACTCTATCACATTACATATGTAAACTTTCACTCCAATGCATATACTTATGGAAGTTACACTTTACCTAATAGGTTATAAAATGATAAGGAATGAAAATTTCACAAGGCTGTAGGTCACACTTTGTGATTGAAACCCTTAAGGCGTAAACTATAAAACTAAAACTAACAATGTCTAACACTTAAACATACAATACCTTGTGAACATTCAAGATCTAAAGATAATGTTTTTGGTTCAGTTTGCTTGAACCACATAATATTCATGAATTTGAATGTTAACTCTTTGTCTTTATCGCTTGGATCATACAAAAAATTTCTATACCTGTTTATTATTTATTTTATTTATGTACTTATTTATTTATTTATTTATTTAATTTTTATTTTTTTGGGGGAGTTTGGGGGGGGGGGGGGGGGTGGGTGGTGAGGGTGTGGTGGGGATATAAACCCTTAAATATCTTCCCTACCAAAAGGTGAAAGACTTTCCAAAGGTGTCCTGCAACATTGGGGTTTTGATTTCACCCAGAAACCCTCTATGCTGCTGCCAAAGCACCAACATGGCTTCTTGAGACAAGGTTTGTTTTAAATTGTACTCTTTATCTTTCAGCACACTTTAGAATCACGCTAATGGAGAAAATTGTTAGATCTATGCAAAATAATTATTCGAAAGATGGTAGTTTAATGGAAAAAAAAAATGAAAGATTTTCACTGCCATGCAGCTTTGAATATCATTAATGTAGCAGAAAATGGTATTGTGGTGAAGACAAAAAACTGGATAAAAAATTATTTTAATTGAGATACATGTTACAGCTTACAGCAAATTTGGCTCATTTGCGAATGATTCTAAGTTGCATTATGCGCTTCCTAGCTTTGCAATACATGAATAAAATTTTCACCTATTCATTTGAAAATCTTCATGCAAACCCTTTTATGAAGGAGACTCATTAATCAAGAATGTTGGAGCACGGATAAAATATATAGTTTGAGCTTGTACTAATTTTTTGGGGCTTTTGGAGGATGTAAGCCTTGGAGCAGATAAAGAGAGTCATTGCATTTTGAAAGTCATAACGGGGAGGAATAAGAGGGCTGAGGTTTTGTAAATGATGATTGATCAGACTTCCAGTTTGGCCTTATTCATCTCATGAGGGCAAACTAAAAAATGCTCAAGGTTTCATGTTCCTTGTGTGAACAAGAAAAGGAGGTGCTGCATAGGTTATTTGCGAGGTCTAACCCTTCGTGCCCAATCATAGCAGCTGCGATTTCTAGTCTTGGGGCATCAGAATTATAGTTACCCGAATGGCCCACTGAGGTCCCAATCATAGCAGTTGCAATTTCTAGTATTGGGCATCAGAATTATTGCTACCCGAATCGCCCAGGAGGAAACTCGATTATGAAAGAAAAGAATCACGTTTCCAAGTTTCTCGAAAAGTGATTCAATTTAGTTTATGAATCTCGGTTCTTGGAAGCCTGGAACCAAGATTCCATATCGCAGACTTTGTGATTCTTAGCTACACAACAATGGGATTTTGCTTGTGCCGTTGTGCGAAATGTTGATTCCAAATTTTTAGGAATTGCGAATGTTAAAGTTGTTGCACACGGCATTAAAATCGAACTTTTAAATATGGGGAATATGTGAAATTTTTTATTTTATTGTTTTCTAATTTCTATCCTTGTTTTCGAATTCCATATTACTTTTTACCAACCCTTACCAAGTATAAATATTACTAAAAAAAATTGTTACTTCAAATTTAATAATTTTTGGTAAATGATGTGGGTACTAATGTAATATTGTTAAATATATGATGGGTACCAAGATGTGCTATTACTGCTTTTCTTCAAGTAGAGTGAGAGGATAAGCATATGAGCGAAGTGCCCTATGGTATTTTAGGTTAAATTAATCATTAAATATCAGAAATTGACTTAAAATTGAATAACTCAATCTTTAAAAGTCTCAAAACTACATCTAACAAGAAGAATTTCTATGTCATCTACTTATTTATAATTCAAGGAAAGGAGATAGAGGGAGCTCGTTGTTGTTCTCACTAGTTGTATGCCGCAGATCAGCTCCAGGCCTTGTAGGCGAAGGGTTGTTGGTAGACCGAGTCCATTGTATGGGATTGTTAACGAAGATATCATAAAGGTTGACATTGGTAATTTGACTAAATATATACAGACCAAAATTCAATCTTGTAGTAGTTGATAAAATTTAAATATTTTTTGAATACTTTTCTCATATGTTGAAGGGGACTGGTGTGCAATTCCAGTATGGGGAGAATCTCGATTCCTGAATGGTGAGAACCTTGATTCCAAGGTGCTGGGGACAATGATTCCAGAATTTTAGGAATCACGATTCTATATTTTTAGGAATCATGATTCCAATCTCATCGGATTGCGATTCTAGAATCCATTGAACTATGTGGGGTCAGGTGCGATTCCATATAGGTATGAAACTCGATTCCAACATGAAGGGACCGATTTCTACAAATAGGAAACACGATTCCTATTTTATTGGATCGGGATTCCAATATAGTGCGAATCACGATTCGTAATTCCGAATTGTATGGACAATGATTCCAATTTTAGGAAACATCTAATACATGTGATTCTGAATCCTGAAATGATTCGGAATCCTAGGCATTTCCAACAACTATAATCAGAATAGCTCTTTCCCAGAATGATCATCTAGTAGGCTGTGGGCAAATGGGGCAGATTATGTCTAACTGCAAAATTCTGGCCTTTCTGAGTAGAGAATGGAGAGTGGGTCAATAACTACTGAGTAGTGTTGTATTAAGTCGTTGGTGTAGCCTTCTTTTAAATCTTTCAACGGCCAGCATTTTAGATATGGTAGAAAGAGTATCTGATTAGCAATGGTTTGACATTCAATTTGTACTGCGGTTCTCTTACATTCTCGTTCTTTTTGTAAGAGGATGTATTATTTGTTTCACAAAGTTTATCATCCCAAATGCTTATTAGTTTGAACCTGGTTGTAATTTAGCATTCACATGGCTCTTTTTGTAATTTCCACCCTTGTACGTTTTGTACATGTCTACTAATTTCTTTTATTTGGTTTGTACATATTGTAAATACGCAAAGAGTGTTGTATTTAAAATATGTGCCTGGGTTTCTTTTATACATTTGAACAATGTGAAATTCCAAAAAGGTTTTCTTTTCTCCCATTTGAAACTCTGCATTTTATCATGTATGCTCTCAACCTAGAGTATATTCACTAACTCTCGAGCTCCAAGACCAGCTACATTTGACTCCCTTGTGCATTTGTGTACATCATTTATAAATCTCAATATGGTATTCTTCTTGCAAAGTAGTCACGCTCTCATCACACATACACACACACACATAAATAGAGGGAGGGAGGGAGGAAGGTGCTCCACCTGGGAGTTGACTCCTGTAATTGCCTGCAACTGTGGTTTGTCAATTACGGGGACTTTCACTGAAATGTATGCCATTTGCAGTTGGGATAAAACTGGTAATTCCTGTTTTTACTCCACTTACATAGTGGCAGCACACATAAAAAGGCCAAATATGCGACATCCGACCCACAAATGGTAGTTCATCCCCCAACTGCTCTTCCAAACCATGAGTTGATCATGGTTTGGGGTGGAATTCAGACAAGCTGTAGGATTGTTAAGCAGTAGACAAGTAAATGAGCTGTTTATGTTGAATTTGTGCAGCTGTGGAAGTTACTGAATCGTCTTGGAAAGATTCCGTTCTCGAAAGTGAGGTTCCTGTTGTCGTTGAATTTTGGGCGCCATGGTGTGGACCTTGCAGGATGATTGAACCTCTGATTGATGAGATTGCGAGGCAGTATGTGGGGAAAGTGAAGTGCTTCAAGCTCAACACTGATGAAAGCCCACAGGTTGCGACTGATTACGGTATTCGGAGCATCCCAACTGTTCTACTATTCAAAAATGGGGAGAAGCAAGACACTGTGATTGGGGCTGTACCCAAATCTGCATTAGTAGCAACCATCGAGAAACACCTGGTTTCCTAGAGAGCTATTTCTGGTGTTGCAATTATTCTTGATGGGGAATGTCAGGTTTCTGACCTTTTTTAGGTACACTGATCCTACTCAAAATAAAGTGACAATTACCCATAAAGGTTGCAATTAGTGATGGCCCTGTACATTATATATGTGTTTTCGAAGATTTTATTTAATTGTAAATTTGTTTGGGAATCCATGTTGCTTTGCTGCCTTTGCCATAACTTATTGCATTGGGGTATGCATTTATTGAGACTCCTGCGGTTACGGAGTTTACCTCACAAAAGTTGATGCCAATGTTTAGACTATGCAAACTTCAAAGTCTGGGTTAAATAAATATGTTCTATAGGTGCTTGAAAGTACACTTGTTGTTAGCGTTTAAAAACATGAAACCAGTCAAGAGCTGGAGCCTGAGATCTGCCGGTTCGATTCAGCCAAGCTTCAATAAGACTCAGTGGAGTCTATAAAAATATAATAAAGGAGGGGCAAGAATGGGTACAAATCAGGCAACTCCGGAGTTGGCGAGTTTTTAAGCACTCAAAGGCTCTCTATATTTCTTTTATAAAGATCAGATACACACAAAGACTCATGACTCTTATCGAATTGATTATGGAAAAAGGACAATAGACTTACATGCAGTAAATGTATGAAATTTATTAAACCTTGAACTACTGTTGAAGATTTTGTTTATAGAACTTCCTTTGTTCCACTCCTTACTTAATTTGTAAATGCTGTTGATTATTTATCATAGTGCCATGTGCCCATGTTTTTATGTGATAGGTAGAGAGAAGCACAAAAAGAATAGGAGTCAGTCATTGATACACTACCTTTAAACAATGAGTCAAAATTGAGTTGGAAAATTTGCTACTCTTGTGTTAGAACTTAGAAATCAAGTAAGTAGGGCTAACAACCTCCTAACTCTAGCTCCTTCACTGTTCCAGACGAAATAGAGGGTGGTAGTTTATACCAAAGAATCCAGGACATTTTACTCTATGTTAATAACACAATTAGCTTAGTAGGAGGTAGATAACTGCCCTATAAGTGTGCAAGTCATGAACTCTCGACGATGATATATACCAAGAAGAGGTAGATAATGTGGAGGGGTTAATCATACCAAATGCAGGTTGACTACATGCTTGTGTCTAAAAGTGAAGGTTAAACCGAATAATACGATGCTCAACCTTTTCCAGCTCAATCATTTGTTCAACTGCCGGTTCCACCTGCTTCAATCCAGCTTGAGCAACTGACGATTAATAATTTGTGAATGATGAACAGCTAAAAACAGTTTTGAGAAAATATTGTAGTGGTGTGGAGCTATGACTCAACCCTTTCAGATTGGAGTCTCTCACTTGCTGTACCCAAAAGTATCCCATCCACCTTTAGTATAGTTTTGTACAAATTGCTGATTACTGGCAAAGTTTGTGACAAATTAAAAAAGTCATGATGGAATCTTGAATTTTTGAGCTCTGATGAGGTGTAAAATGCTCCTATAGTGGCGTATGAGTTTTTCTTTTTGAAATAGGAAAACTTGGTAAAAACTAGAGAACCTAGACGTGGACTTCATACCATAATAGTATGGGATATCTCATTTTGGGAAAGAAATAAAACTGAATTTATTTCCAGGAATATTTATCTTAGTAAGTTATATAAATTATAATTTTATGTTCTAGATTTGTATTTGGGGAAGTATTTCACAAGGGTGCAGGTGCATATGGTGGCTCCTCAAACAACCATCTTGGAAATTGATTGAGGATCCAAAGCAGCCCCTGATCACCTGCATATCCATTTTCTCTCCTATTTCTGGAATTTGTAGCTCAAAATATGCACAGATTTGGCACATCTATAAATACTTGAAATGAATGGTTCAAAAAAAGTGGTGGAAGATGGTCTGATTTTAGGGCTCCATATCCTTATTCTTTTAGATCCATGATGCGGAGGTGAAGATAATGAATTTGCAGAATTTTGTGCACTAGAACTGGTACTTCTGGCAAGTTTTGTGGTGTTGCTGCACGCAACCACTGCCGTGCAAAAAATGTCCCGCTTTATATCTTTTAAACTATAATTTGAAGCTTAAAAGAAAAATTATTTAATAAATTTGATGTTGAACTTATGTATGTCGAGGTAAGAAAGTGAGTCGGTCAACAATTTAATTTTGAATAATGGATTAGCAATTTCAGTGTTATGCTAGATTTTGGCCTCAAATTTCTCATGTTCCAATTGCTTTTGTTTTTAATGTGGCGTATATCTTCTATATCTGTTCCTATTTAAATCTTGGGAAAATACAGTACAAACCCCCAATTTTCAAACTTATTCATGTTTAGCCCCTCCCAACCTTTTTCTTTCGAGCGGGAAAAAATTTCTTCAAGAACTATCAAGGCGCCCCATCCCCTCCATCCCCTCTGCTATCACCTTTCCGTATGAAATTTGACTTCAACAGTTTATCTTATACGATATCCTCTTCCCATCCTGTCTTTACCTTGTGGTACAAGAGAAATTGTTGATGTATGAAAGTGAGAAAAGGGTGGATGTATGTACAGAATGAGAGGGTATGTTTATCGTTTTCAAGGAAATTTAATGGTGCATAAAAGAGAAAGTTGGGAGGAGCTACTGCAATATAAGTTTGGAAATTGGGGTTCTTATGATATTTTCCTTTAAATTTAATTGAATTTTTTTTTTGCTTATAGCAAAAATTTTTTTTTTGTTCTTTCTACTAATTTTTATTGCCGTTTCTGTCATGTTTCCATTGTTATATCAGTCTCTCTCTTTCAATGAAGGTTCAGTCTCCTGACTTCCCCCCAAAAAAAAAAAAACAAAAGAATAGGAATTGAACTCAAATTTCTTGCCTTCAGATTGCTAACATTTTGGATGCAGTGCCACTTCTGTTTCCATTTCCTTAAACTGGACTTTCCTTTTGTCCCCAATTAATATCTACTCTTGTTTCATTCTACTAGTTTCTCATTTAGACGAATACATATTCAAAATTTTCTTCTGGGCACAAGTATTTTGTTTATCAGTCATGAGCTAATGCATTGAATCTTCAAAGTGGCTGAACGCCTGCAGCATCTTCATAACTTTAAAAATCACATAAAAAAAAGACCATGTTTCATACTGATATGTACATAGCTATTTCCATTCAACGTAGTTCTGAGTCATTTCAGTTTTGGCATAACCAGTGCTATGAAACTGCTACAATTGATAGCTGATAACCCATTGCAATGTCAAACATAATATTTTTTCGCAATGATCTTTCACTCGTGTTATTATTTACAGAATAGAATGTGATAGCAGATTACTAGCTCATAGCATTACTCATTATTATTAGTATTGACATATGCTGGATTCCAGCCACCAGAATCATTCGTGTAAAAATTCCAGACACTTGTTGACCACCCACATATGGTGTTTATTAAGATAAATATATTCTCCGGCATAGAATTCACCAACATTGGTCAGTCTCCCACGTTCTCCGGATTGTCATTTTGCTCGAAAATGACATCTGACTTTTCCTATCATAATCTGCCCTCTTTTGAGGATCAGACAATGTGGCATAGGCAGAGTGTATTCTGATGAAATCATCCGCCGACTTGTTCCTTTGATCCGGAGAGACGACATCTGGGTGGCAAGTCCTCACTAGCTTTCTGTAGGCGGCCTTAATGTCGGCTTTTGAAGCATGGTATGAGAGGCCGAGATCGTCGTAGAGACAGTTTATGGGACCTGATGTAGTCTTTGTATGCGTGTTGTATTTGGGTTTGGGGCGTATGCTGGTGGTTGTTTTGGTGGTGGTTTTAGAGAGAGGCCAGATGAGGCCGGCTGTTGAGAGGAGTGAAACTACCATGGAGGAGGGAGAGTCTTTTGCTGATATGGGTCTTGTGCCAACCCCTGGAAGAAGCTTTTATAGAGAAAAATTTGATGAGTTTCTCAATGTGAGGGAGAGAGAGAGGGGGGATTGGATTCTGGTTTTGATTGAGACCACAAATAGAGTGGGGAGCGGGGGCCTCTTTTGTTGAGAGAGAGAGAGGGGGACAAGTTGAAGAGGTTGTTAATTGGAGAGGGGAAGAAAGAGAGGAAGTTGATGTACATATAGGAGAGAGAGAAGAGAGGGGAAGCCATGGGTTTAACTCTTAGTCGAATTCCACGTGGGTAATAATCCAGTTGTACGAAATCCTTATCCATTGGGAATTGCCTAGATCGGCAGCTGAGTCATCCCTTTTACAGCCACAAATATAGTATACTTTATAACCACATATACTGTCTTTGAACTCTCAGATCTTGATCTGAGAGCTTTTTATTTTTAATTTTTTATTTTTACTTGATAAATTATTATGAAGCAAAATTTGGGGTATGATAGATCTGGCAAGGGCACACTTGATAAAAATAATAAAAAAATATTTTTGATGATGAAAAATTACTGAAATACCTTTAAAAATTTTAAAGATATTTTGGTTATTTATTTTTATGATAAATACAATGTACATAACCATTGTATATAGAAGGAAGCTTGAAAAACTTGAAATCTATATAATATTATTTACTTGAAGCCAAAATATTTTATACTCTTGCACGAGAGTACGGAGTCCATTTACACCCCACCTAGTAAAATTTAATTTAGTATTAACTTTAAGATCTCAAATTTTGGGGATTTTATTCTTTGAGCTATAGGCTAATCCAAATAAAAAATATTTCCTAGCACCTTCTACCCACTAGAAAAAGATAATAATATCTTACACTTGAACACATGTGGGAGTGCGATGTAACTGCTAAAAAACTGAAAATTTAGAAATTTTTTTTTGAAAATAATCATCTAGTAGTCATTAAGCCATCCATTCCTAAAATTTCACATTGAGAAAAACCTTCCAAGTGGTTATTTGCTCGAGGGAATAGATGTAAAGAAAGAAGTTGTCCACAAGGAAACAATTTATCTTTTGTATATGGAGGTTATAATCATTCTTGTCTCTTAGATTTTAAAATGGATGGTTTTTAGTGTGTCATTGAATAGTCACATAGTTCTAAAAAAAATTTCTGAGATTTCGTGACTCACTTAAGCCATTCAATTGGACATCCAATGAGTGAGAATGATTGTGATCTTCATGTACAAAGATAAATGGTCTCTTTGTAAACAATCTCATAAAAAATATTTTGAAATTCACTTAGCTGTGGATTCATCCAAAAGCGTTGGATTACGTCACTGGGTCCTTGCAATTTTGGCAAGCCCTTTCTTTCAAACTTTATTGCTTTAGGGAAACTCCCCTGTTTATAGTTTTGATCCAATTTTAAATGCACATGGAAAAGTACGTGGTCTTGAGCTGGGATAGTTGGAAATGGATAAATGTCGAACAGTTCTTCTCTCATGGGGATTTTCATAATTTTCTCTTGCTTTGGGATTCAGGTTTTCTAAATAAATCATGTTAAGCAAAATGGGATTAATAGTTTCCATTTAAGTTATGTAATACATAGAGTAACAATTAAGTTATCACCCCCTAAATTTGTTAGGGCAGTTTTTTTGCTTGTCTTTGCTGGCTCCAAGCTTAAAAAAAAAAATGGATCGGTGACTCGAGTTGTCTGTACCCATACCTGTGTCGAATCATCGAATCGGTCGAATCGGCAAGTTTTGTCCTAAATGTTTTTCAAAAAATCACTATAAATCTCTAAAAACAGTGTGTTTTTTTAGTTTCTTAAAAAAAATTAGGAGTGATGCATTACATAGTTTCATTATTTGCAAAAATATGTGAATATTGAGACGTTGTTTCCTTATTTGGATGCTTGTATGATTATTAATTATAATATAGTATTAAAAATAATTTACTATACAAATAAGAATAAATTTAAAATTTGTTTTATAATATCATCTAATATAAAAAATTTGTCTTTACAACTATAAAAAAATACATTATATAATTTATAATGTAAATAAATTAACAAATGAAATACAAGATTTAGTTTCTAATGTCTAAGCGTTTAGAAACTAAAAAATCTAATTTTATCTTTGGAAAACCATATGTGACTTTAAAATGGATCTCAAATTTTAGATTAAAAAAATATCCAAAGTTACTCTTTGTCCAAGGGAGTAAATGTACGAGGCTCCATAGAGAGTATACACTATGAGGCCCTTAAATTTAAGGGTGCGGTTGGTATATAGCCGTGCCTCAATCAAAGTAAAGTGCACCTTCAAATGGTATCAAGAAATGTGGTTTCAATACTAGAAATCTTTGTGATAACTTTAAAATACCATCTTGAATTATAAAATTTCAAGCTTAAAACATAGCGTGTAGATGGAGCATATCTATGAAAACTTTAAAATCTTGAAAATTGGCAATCCAAAAATACATTACAAGATGCACTATTTTTAAACTTTGAAATCTATTTTTTTCTCATGTCTATGCATCTTGAAGTCGAGATGATTAATTTGAGGATATTTGAGCATCAAAACAACCTTTTCTGGTGAAATTTTTGTGGTGCGCCCTAATTTGATAGTTTAGAGCGTATATAAACTTTTTCCTAAATTTAATCCTTCCTTAGGGGAAATTTGCTCTGGTGGATCACATGTGAGAACTTTCATTGTCATCGTTGTAGTGCCTAACCCTGACTACGACATATTCCAAAGAATGTACTTCCTGTCATTTCGCAATATACTAAGTCATATTCAAGGACATACAAAATCTGTAGTCTCATTGGTCATCACCATCCACTGAAATGGTGGACGGTTGAAGTGAAAGATGGTAATATAGAGAGAGTGGGACCGGCCATTGTTTCAGGGTTTTATAGTGATTTATTAATCTCTTTGGATTGAAATAAAAAATGGCGGGTGTCACATGGGGAAGGGTGGTGATCGCATGGGCTCCTTGGCCTTTCTGTGTTTGTTTAATGTGATTTAAGGGCTTTTTAATTAAACTAAATGTGTGTTCCTGAAAAGAAATTGGATTATCGAATTAATTAAAGGAGAAAGGCACTGAAGTAGATGATTAATGATTTTCTAGACGGTCGTTCCCCTCAATCAGGCCTAAGAATCCGTTCCTTTGGAATTTAACGAAAATGGTTTGATAGGGCTGCAGCCCTATCAAAATAAGTAAAGCTTCACTTCATAGCTCATTGAAAGTTGCAATTCAAGCATTGAGGATCCTTTACAACTTGAACATTATGTTTGTGAAAAAGAATTGAGATTTAAAGCTCTAAAAATAGTGTATATTGCAACAAATTATCTAGACCGTCCATTCCACCCTAAAAATAAGTGTTTTTAGATCCTCAAGATTTGTATCATTTTTTTACTTTCAAATTTCATTGTTGGTGTTGAAAATTGATTTTAAAGCCATTATGGAGATTTATGTCGCCAAAAGTGCAGGAGAGGCATGAGTGCAATTCGATCTTGTGGTGTATTCGTTTGCAGTGAGTAGGGATGTTTCTCGTTGATCAGTTTGCCTCCACTCCATTGCAAGATCTCCATTCCTACCGCAGTTTTGTCAACAAACGCGTCTCGGGCTGACTAACCTAATCATTAAGGAGGCCTTGCCATAGTTGGTGGTGTTGTTTATTTGAAATCGAATTAGATTATTTCGTAGGCCCAGCTTTTCAGTTCTGCTGCCAACTCACACTATGGTGGAGGAGGTGCCGTGAAGATCTAGAAGTGCTACCAGCACGAGCGCTTCTAAGACAAGGATTTGAGATAATGCTTTATTTTATTTTCATAAAGCCCAAGCCTTATAGAAACTACATCCTTTACGTGATGGATGCACATGAGAGAGATCCATCAAGAGAGAGAGGAGCCAACATTTCAAAGAATGAGACAGTATTGAGGACCACTTCATCCCTTACAAATTTCTCTGTCATGGCAACTAGAAGCTAGCATTTCGATTACAATATAAGGGCACGTTTTTCCCTTGCAATTTTCTATAATGGCATGACTATTTTTAAATATGAAAAGCACAAAGATGAACAAACCCCAATTGTATGGCGAAAGAAACCATTGAGGAGGTCAATAAACCAAATGGTAGGTTTGGGACCTTGATGTCATTAATAATTCGGTGAAGTTTGTGTAAGGTGTAAATCCTTTACTATATAAGGGCAAGCGGCCTAGTCCCCACTGTTTTAGGGCCACTTTCTGGACCATTGTTAGCCCTAATACTATTGAAGTAGGCACACCTCAAGACGATGCAAAATTTATTACTCCAAATGATGTAGATTGAACAGATTTATAAATAATTAAAAATTTTGAAAATAAAAATTCCAAATAATGTATTACAAGATGCAAGATTTTTATAAATCGAAATTGTTTTATTTTCCATATACATCTTGAGGTTGAGAGGATCAATTCGAGGGTTTTTAGCATCAGAACAAACTTTCCTAATGGACTTTTGAGGTGAAAACTTATTTCAATATAAAGTTGACTCCTAATATAAACATTTTTTTAATAACTTTTTATCATGAAAATTAGAGTGTGCTTGTGATGCAAATCCCATAGAAGAAATTCAAGTTATTGGCTAGAATTTTGATATTTAATTTTTTTTATGATTTTTTGTATGGGGAATTTTCAGGTCCAGGAGTGATTTATTTATTTTATTTTTGGGAGTCCTACGTAAAGATTAAAAGAGATATCTAATTTAGAGCTTGGGGTAGTAAAGTTGCTATTTTCATGGTGAGGTGACTTGTTTCCCAACAAAACTCGGTTTGGACATTCAATGTCCTAACCCCTCCTCATTTAAAAATATTTGACCCTAATTTGAACATTGGATTTCCAAACTAAAATTGAAATAAAAAAATACAAAATGGTGGGACTTGAGCATAAAATAAAAAACCCACATGTTTATTTTTAATTCTAAGAGATATAAAACATTCATTTTTTGGTGAATTTCCCTAAAAAGAAGTGTTGTATGCGTAGGGAATGCGATTCTACAGTCCCCTGAGTCATAAATCATCCATCTCAAACATGGATGCATGTGTGTGGTCCCTCTCAAAAAAAAGGTTAAAACCAATAGTCTATATATTTTCTTCATAAAATTATCATTTTTAATTTTTTTTTATTTAATTATTTTTACATATTGAAGATCTCTATATTAGAGATTACATAAAATTTAAGTCCTAAATCCATCTCAACAATAGTTTTTTAGGAGTGAACTCATTTATACGTACGAGTCTTAAGACTCGTAGAAGCCTTATACTTTCTCTAAACGATGGATTGTATATTACAAGACCACTTATTTTTAATACAAAGAGGTTAGAATCGCTATGAGATAAAAATTTATTAGATTGAAACTTTGGTACTAGGAAGTTACAATCGCTACTAGATAAAAATTTATTAGATTGAAGCTTTGGAAAATGTAAATAAAACAAATGGTGGGAAAGGCTCGCTTCGGCAAGTTCAAAACCATTTAACTTCGAGGCAAAACTGATGTTTGCCCATAGGAAACTAGCGTGTGCTAGCTTGTGGTTTCGTTCCTCTGCAGTTTACCAGCACTCCTCCATCTTGCCCCAAGAAGCATGACCGAACCGAGCACATGTTTCCCTCTACAATAGTTTGTGAGAATATTGCGCACAGTTAGATGGCAAGCAACACACAATTGAGCATACAACCCCTCTTTTGGAGAGCATCAAGTTAAATTTTGATCGTACCTCAAAAACACAATTCAAGTTCTGCTGAAGTGGGTAGCCAAAGTCAGTTAACATGAAGAAAGAGTCCAGCATATAAGAGGATGTAATGCGGACGTACTGCCTTCTAAATGCATCGGACGACCGGAAGGCTACTTCCTGAGATTAGAATAGGACCCTGTTAGAGGTTCCGGTTAAATTGGATCTATGGAAGTTAGAACTGCTCTCTCTAAGTGATTGAACTACTTTAAAAAAATCAAATCTATCCTAATTGCCAATTTTCGTTAATCAAGGGAAATCATTACCGCACATCAAGGGAGACAATGAAGCAATGGTGGGGTGTGCTATTCTCCTTGATCTCTATCTATTTCACAATCTCTCTCTCCTTCTCTCCCTCAATTTCTTTTTTGTCCATACGAGAGAGACAAGATCCCTATGATTATCTCAAACAATTTTTACGGATTTTTTTAAGAAAAATATGGCGTAGATCCAGTCTAACGGTTCATATTGAATCTGTGTCGATTCAATGATCACGATTACATTTCGTATTTTAATTTTAATTTTTTTTTATATATCTAAATGACTTGAAATTTTGTGCTTATATTATTTAAAAAATATCAAAATCCAATAAAAATATAAAAAAAATATTTTATGAAAAATAAATTGATCAAAATACTCTCAAAACTTTTCAGAAGTATTTGGTTTTGCGAATTAATTTTTTAATTAGGTAAGCCTTGATGAGAATAATAGCCGTCTAAAATTTCAAATGATTTAAATTTATAAAAAAAAATAAAAATTTAAATATGAAATAAAATTGTATTTAAATACGAAATGAAATCGTATTTGTTAGATTGCTCAAATTAAATAATTAACTATTGGGTTCATCATAGCTGTAGACTAATAAAGCCCAATTTGACAAGTGTCCCGCATAAACTTTACGTGTTATCTCAAACAACGTCCACATATTCATTTAAGCAGCTGGCATATGTCCTGAGAAGACGTTACATGTGATCAAGGAATCCAGGCACATGGGTGCTTTATGTAGCTGGCATGTATCCCGAATAAACTTTACATGTAATAAGGAATCTTGTGGTTTTTTTTTTCGAAAATTGGTGATCCTACTCGAAATTGGACAATTCTATCTAAAAAATTGATGATGTGGTTCTAAATGCCAAATTGGATATCGACTTGTGTATTTTTGGTCTCACCCAATGGTTTAAAAAAATGATCGGCGACAAGGATCGGGCTTCCAAAAAATTAATCCGGATCGACGAATCGACGATTCGGATCGAAAATTGAGTGAATCGATCATAATAAAGCTTAAAAAAAATTCGAAAAAATTATTAAAATTCATTATAAATATTGTTTTTTAGGAATTCAATAAGAAATGAGGGTACTCCATTAAGAATTTTTATGTTTTTGAATGAATATGCGAATATTGATATATTCTTTCCCTGTATGAACCGCCATTCAGCATTTCATTTACATTACACAAAAGGATAAACATATAATTATCATGGAATAAGTATATCAACATACATGGACTACAATAAAGCATAAAATTAGTAATATATGATCTAAAAATAAAATGATAGACGACGTTATTGTTCTTATTGGTCTCGCTGGTGCCATTGATTGAATTCGTTTAACAATTCATTGATTCGATCTAAAAACGAATCATCGATATTAGCAAGCGTCTGACTATTCTTAAATCCCTGAGTGTTAGTGTTTTGTTGTGTTCCTAATCTAAAATCCCCGAAGATTTTCTATCCTTCATGCTCACCTGCACTGTCGTGCTCATCCCTGCACTTTTGCTGTTGGGACTCGATATGTGAATAATATGGCTGGGATAGGGTGGCCTCAGAATCATCATCTCTCTCATTTTCTCTTTGAATAATATGGATTAAAAAAAAAAAAACAAATTTTCAAAAAAATCGATCATGGATTAAAAAAAAAAATCACAAATTTTCAAAAAATTCTATCATGGATTACAAAAAAAAATTTGAGCATCGATTAAAATAAAAAACTCACAAATTTTCAAAAAATTCAATCATGGATTACAAAAAATTCGATCATGGATTACATAAAATTCGATCATGGATTAATAAAAAAAACAAATAAAAAAAACAAAAAATTCAATCGTGGATTACAAAAAAGAAAAAAACAATTCGATCATGGATTACAAAAATTCAATCATGGATTACAAAAAACTCTATCATGGGTTACAAAAAAAGAAAAAAACAAAAAATTCGATCATGGATTACAAAAAAAAGACAAACATTCGATCATGGATTACAAAAAAAAAACAAACATTTCGATCATGTTTTACAAAACATTCGATCATGGATTACAAAAATTCTATCATGGGTT